ATGATGACAAAAGAGTGGGGAGGTGGGAGGTAGCACTTTTATTACTATGAGTACCACAGATGTACACAAAACGTCCAAGTAGCATCCCTTAAAGAACATTGATATAAAAAGGTAAGGAGATGGAGACTAATATAGAGGTAACTATCTGTAAATTATTGGGCCTGAAGGCTAACAGACAATAAAAATCACCTTCCTGTAATGAAATATGTACAGGAAAAAGGAAGTAAGGCTTCCTTCTCCTTGTTCAGCAGAGCCTGTTCGGTTCTATGGCTCTGAAACACCTCACTTGTGTGGTGGTGGAGAGGGCTGTTTTATACACACACACACACACACACACACGCACACACATATATCTATGTCAAGTTGTCCCTGGTCTGTTTTTGCCTGAATTCCCCCCCTAAATATGAAGATAGTTTTAACCCATGCTAGCACCATCTCACAGAGGAGACAGCTCGAAGCCAGAATATGTCTTCTTGCAGCCCTGCGTTGCAATGAGGATGAAGGCTGAGGTATGCAAGGCAAAAGTCCTCTTTGGTTCCATTTGGGTGTCCAGAGACATGTCCTGTAATGGGACTGAAATGCAGCAAACCAGAGAGAGCAGCCCCTGCTCTTAGTGGTGACAGGACGACTTGTACTGCCTGGCAGTCTGACTAGGCCGGTCACTGGCACCAACTGCAGCTAAGTCGTAAATCAGGGCTTTGTGTTGAGAAATATCTTCAAAAGTCCCCAGGCGCCCAAGAAATGTCATTTTATAGCAGGAAACTGGGAAGAAAAAGAATGTCTTTGGATAGAATACTGGAAAGAGCTCTAAAATTCCCCTCTACTTGGCTGAAGGAATACTTGTCAGAGAGAAAGTCCAGGAAAAGAACAGTGTAAAGGAGAGAAAAAGAGGATGCCAAGCTTATTCTGAGCCTCACCAGAGGAAACAATCTTTCAAAGTACAGAGAAGAGGAACAGAATTGGGTGCAATGAGTCCTCTAATGCACGTATAACTTTTAGGGGTATTACCCCCACATCTGTGAGAAAACCAGCACATGTGACATCTAGTTTGGTGGGGAGAGAAAAGATCTTAGTGTGAGTTTGCTTAACTTTGTGCCAGCGAATGCCTCCCAAACTGCAGTGAGTGGTTGAACTGTCCCCTCTAAACAGGGGAGCTTTGTTTGAGGGAAAAGCTCTAGGGTCAGGGTGCTGCTGTTGGAGCTGATGGTGGGACCCAAATGGAGCCCAAGTGGATGGGCAAATCCCTGCAGAACCGGGTAATCCTTGAGCTGGAACCAGAGCCAAAATATCCTTGTCAATCGAGTTCCCCAGGAGACTTTCCGCTTGCTCTGTAGATATTTTTCTTTTAAGCCCAGTGGTAAAGTGATAGCAGAATACATCAAATGGAGCCCAAGTGGATGGGCAAATCCCTGCAGAACTGGGTAATCCTTGAGCTGGAACCAGAGCCAAAATATCCTTGTCAATCAAGTTCCCCAGGAGACTTTCCACTTGCTCTGTAGATACTTTTCTTTTAAGCCTAGTGGTAAAGTGATAGCAGAATACACGTAATAGCTCTAAAATTATCTTTGCAAGGTTGCTGTTTTTTAAATGATCCTTTCCTTCTTATTTCCCGTAGGAAAACACTACCTTCATGCCATGCTCAGGAAAGCATCAGTTGCAAAGCGAAGACATAAAATTAAGTGAGCTGAAATTTAAGACTTGCTATTGCAGCAGTGACGCTCAACAGCAACGCGCAGCAGCTGCAGGGTTTCGTTACTGTCACTTGCAAAAGCCTACAAGTCCCTTGCTTGTGCCTTGCTTCAAACCAAAGCTTGCAGGCCCAGAGACACCATTTTATCAGTAGGAACCTGCTAGCACAGCATTACATCCAAGAGACTTCTGATATTGCTGTGGCACTAAAGTGTGATTTTAATATCCTGGATTGTTCTGAAAATCTGAGCTGCCTGATTCCAGAGGCTTGTGTGAGTACGGTTACTTCAGTGCTTAATGGGATTTATGTGCAGAAATGTAATGGGTTTCTAACATACTGCTACAGCATGGGAGGAGGATAAAATCAAGTCAGACGGAGTTTGGAAATGGAATTCAGGAGAGCCAGTTAGCACAGGATGCCGGAAACAAGAGTTCTTGCAAATGCAAATATAGATGTAAATGGAGGGAGAAAAAAAAAAGGAAGAAAAAGAAAAGAAGAAAAGAAAAGAAAAGAGGAAACGACCTTCCTCAGCTCTTAATTGCAGCTCCTCTTTGGTCAGCCCACGCTGAAAGTTTCACCCTTCCCAATACCGTCTGTTGCGGGGTCGTGGAGCGGTGCAGACCGGGTGGGGGGATGCAGGGCAAGGTCCCCCGTTCCCCTAAGCGCCTCCTTCCAGGGAGCAGTTTCCCAGGAGGCCTCCAGCCCCATTCCAGGTTCCCCCCTCGAGCCTCTAGCTGCGGGACAGGTACGAGGATAATAATAATTATAGCAATTATTAATAATAGCGGCTCGGCGGGGGTTTCTAGCAGCCGCCAGCGTGCAGCGACGGCCCTGGTGCCCGCCCCCTTTTTTTGGGGGTGGAGGACGCCCCGTCCCGCTCCATCCTCCCCTGCCGGGATGGGGACCTCCCTCTGCTGCCAGATGTTGGGCAGGAAGAGGGTGGATCGGCGCTGGGGTAGGGCAGGGACTAGGGCGCGTGGGGCCACTCCTACAAATGGCAGCATCCCCGCACATCTGGCGGGAGGAGGGTTTGGGAAGCGGCTCTGCCAGGAGCACGGCAGAACAGGGATGAACAGGGAAGGTGCGAGGCGGGGATGACTGGTAACGGCTCTGCCTGGTTATTTATTTTTGTGGGGTGCTGTGGGGGCGTGGGAGGTTCCCTGTTGATAGATGAGTCACATAGCGAATGCACATGTGTCATACAGGGTGCAAGAGGAAGAAAAAGGATGCGGATTAGGGGATTAAAGAGCCCTCCTGCTGTCAAGGGGTGATTGGCAGCTGGCGGTGCCGTGCTAGCTGTGGGCTGCACAAGCTCCTTGCTGCACTTCAGGATGCAGATTGATCCCGTTTCATGGCCAAAGCTCAGCCTCTCCGAAGGGTGGGATTCCACTGGCTGCTCAAGTCCCCTGACTCCAATGTGAGGAGCTGCCAGGTCCAGAATTCACATGGACCCTCCGCATCCTTCCAGGCGTTTCCTGGTGGCAGCAGGTTAGTGCAACTATAGGCCTGGCAAGAGAGATGGGACCGTGGAAGGGGAAATCAGTCTGTCCCAGCAAAAAGCTGGGTGTAAACTGAGCACCAGCATTTGGGTCAGCAAAGCAACTGTGCCAAGGGTTAGGGATGTAGGTGGTGTTTTGGTATCGTGTTGGTGGAATGGGCAAAATACTGAAGGATTTTCTGCCTCTGATCCATCTAGTACCTTCTTTCATAGTCTCTTTTCTTTTGGCTTTGTTTTTTTCAGAATAACTCTGTGATACAAGAACGCCACCATGAAGGGTGAGGAAGCCCGACAGAGGAGAAGGGAGGGCAGGACTAGGAATGGAGAGCGATCCAGGCACAAAGGGAAGAACAAGGGTAAACACAGAGAGAGCCGGCCTGGCAGCCACGAGGCAGAGGATGCCTGTTTGCTTGCACAGCAGAAACTGTTGGCTGAGGAGAAGGTGGCCATGGCAAAGCCGCGGGAAGAGTCGGCCGCTGCGATCTGCCTGCAGGTGCTCCTGCCATACCTCCTGGCTGGGCTTGGCATGGTCTTGGCAGGCATGGTTCTGGATTACGTGCAGGTAAGGGCAAGGAAGGTATCTCACGTATCTGGGATGGGCAGGTGGGAGGTTTGTCTTCAGAGGCAGAGCATTTTCTCTGGAGATGACAAAGGTGAATTTGCGGCAGATTCTCACACAAGTGTATGCTTCACATAGTCCATAATTACTTCATGCAGCTCTCAGGAAAAATGATTTCATGTTTTTCTGGACCTTTATGCTCTCTGTAGGCAAAAGGCAACATGGTGCTGAAGAACATGTGAATTATCTGAGGTACCTACGTAGATGTAGTTCTAGAAAGCTCTTCAGCCCTTCCTTCACCGCCCAAGGAGGCGGCCTGCCCAGCACTGCCCAGCAGGCAAGTCCAGCCTGCCTGCGCTTCCTACCCTTTTCTAAGGCCTTGTAGCAATCACTTAAATCCTTGAGGCTCTTTCTAGTCTGTGACACCGATTCTGTGCCAGTCAGAATCAGACCTTGCCTCTCATAGTGAAACAATGCACAGCTTTAAAGTAGTGACAAGGACTTAATTTTAGGCAGTTTAAACCTATAGTTATTTCCAGGCTGTAAATTGTTATGGCTTTGTGCTCTGGGTTACGCTCACTGCTCTGTGCCTTTTGTTAATCTGTGTTATTTGACTAGCTACCTGTTGGGTCAGGCTGCCCTGAGCTGTCTGATACAGTGACATGGGAACTACTGTGCCTGCATGGACCTGCTTTCCCAAAGCTGGAGCTGTGTTCCTTTGCTAACAGCCCTGAGCTGATCTCCTTAAGCTAAAAGGCTGCATAGGCCTAGGAGTGGCAGGATGTCCTTAAATGACTTTTGCATGTACTCAATATATGGTAGAATACCTATTCAGATGAGAAAACACCAAGGCAAATCTGGAACGCAGTCACAAACTACTTTTGGTCTCCTTTGATATTGCTGTGAGAATCTTGAGCAGCCACTTTCAGTTTTATTTTTAGACTATTTGGACCTGCCCTTCCCTATGGATCTCTGTGTTACCTCCAAGCCTGAGATATTAAGGCATAAAATAGATTGCAGATGGATTTGTAGTGTTGGAGGTGTTTGTTTTTTTGCCTTAGAGTGTTCTTCTCTAGGAAGGGGTGGGCCACTAATTAGAACAAAATGTGAAGTAAGCCTCATATTCCTCTGAAACCACAGAAATCTGGTTTCTATTTTAGGCAAATAGTTCAAAATAAAAGCTTCGTGTTATTACATAGAGCCTGGGAAATCAACCCATCCAACATCACATAGGAAAAATAGGTCTTTGCCTGTTAGCACAGCAACATCCTCTGTGTGAGCAAGGACCACCTGAGTGCATCTCCTGGTGGCCTGGCTGCAGCTAGGAGTGGTCCTCCCTTTCTGTCAGCCAGACGTGTTCAAATAGAGACTGTTTCTGCTCTAGCTGCTCCTGGGCGATGCTGCTTGTGGCTAGCTGGTGAGGTCAGTGGTCTAGCATAGGGAGAAGGGAGCATTCCCTTCCCCAGGCTTTGCCATGAAGGCTGGTGCAGCTCTGAGGGTCATCTTTGTCTCAGCTGGTTGTGGTCTATCTGCTGCTTGGCCACACTCTCTTTTCTTCATAAACTTGGTGCATATTTTCACAGGCAAATATGGTGTGCCTCTGCCAGAAAATGCAATATATCCTTGGCTGGTGCATGAAGTGCAAGCCTTTATCAGAGACTCCTTAAATGCATAATAAAATGACCTAGCGTACATGCCCGGGTGACCTGAATCAATTGCCTTCTCTGCACGTTGATTCATCAGTTGGAGGCTTTTTATGGTACTTACTTGGAGAGAGTCGAAGTGTGATAAATGCATAACCCCTGGCAGGCTGCAGCTTTAGTACAGGATGTTTTGCGGCTGGATTTTTTAGTGGTATCTCAATCATTCAGACTATTGATATTTCCTTCACTCTAATGTTCCTGCCTGTCAGCAGCCCAGTCAGCAGGTATGGTGACATTTGGGCCTGGTTATGCACATTATCAGACATCTGCAAACCTGTGGCTCCTGCCCAATGACTTGTCTTTTATTCTTTATTTACTGAGTGAGTCTGAGCAGATTTGGGCCTTCAGTCTGCCACTTCCTGGCTGGCATGAGATTGGCTTATGTGTGGATTTATTATTATTATCATTATTTTTTAATTAACATCCGTCTCAGAGCCACTGTGAACTTCCCTCCAGTTAGATCAACTGAAATGATCTTCCTCTCTAGATTTCAGCCCAGTGGAGCAGTATTAGGTGGAAGAGGCACACAGGTACGTGTCAAGCCAGTGAGGAAGGCTTGATAGGTTTCTGCTGTCCCAGAATAACCTAGAAAGTAGCCAAAGGACAGTCCCGCATCTGCAGCCAGGGCTCTTGTCCTGTAACCTGCTGTGCTTCCATAGAAATCTCTGCCATCTCAGCCCATTAAGCCTTGTTCTTTGGTTCACGTGCCTTTAGACTAAAGGAAATGCACCATCCAAAATAGCTGAGAGCTCCTTATGTTCCCTAAATATCTATGAGGCCAAAAATATGCCTTGTTCTGCCCAAGCCAGCATTGCACTTAGCTGCAAGCTGGGGAGTCTGTCGCTGGGGCAGAGTCCACAGCACATTAATCTTTACATCTCTCTGCAGAGAATGTCAGGGAATGGGCTGGTTAGTACAAAACATTATCAGTAAGGCAGTGTAATTTAAACGTTGAATTTGAACTGAACTGAGGAGCTGATAGGTTTCCTGCCTACCACTGAGCACTTGCTTTCAGTTGTTTGCCTTCACTTGGGCATGGCTGTGTTTGAACCTGTGGTTAAATAGTGAAGAAAGCATGCCTGTCACCTACTAACCCATTCCTATACCCTTTCCTACTAAGATGTGTTTTCAGAGCCTTTTGACCTTTTGATCCAGTTAGTTTGCTGAAATTATTAGAAAAGAGCCCTGACAGAAAACCATGACTCCCTTCCCCACATGCTTGGCTTTAAGTTGCAGAATATCCTGCTGTCGTTACTGAGCAGGATACAAATTCCATGGCCATATGTGGTCGTGACGTAGCTCCGATTCCTGGGCATGTCCCAGCTGTTTGACTATGGAGACGCAGGGATGAGACCCCCAGCTGTAGGGCCGGGGGTGGTTGTTCCCGGGAACACTCACAAGCGACGCGTTTCGCTTTAGGACAGGAAGAGACACGAGCTCGCCGCGTGCCCCAAAACGGTCGCCCTTTCTCTCCCTTGCTTGTGGAGCAGTGAGATTATGGAGCTACCTTAAATAAGCTCCAGCTCTGACTCTTATCTTGGCCTTTGAAAACTAGCAGAAAGTTGAAGTGATGACAGCAGATAAGGGTGTTCACTTTTGAAGCTTATTGGCTGGTTCTCTGCATTTTTTTTCCCTCTGAAAGCCAGTCATTCAGAGGTATAGCTGGCATACGCTGACTGTTACATCTCGCTGAGACCACGGAGGGGACCGCAGCGGCCAGGGTCTATCTAGAAGGGCAGATCTTCTCTCACCAGCTGGTTTAGCTGTGTCACTTGCCTGGAAATGGTACCTGCATAAGACTGTCAGCAATGAGAAATGTGGACTCATGTTTTCCTTGACCTTTCGTCACCTTGGAGGACAGCGAAGCAGAACCCGGTTGTTAACTCCGTACCTCCTCGGCCTTGGAACAGTGAGAAAAGTTCAATGTTGCTTGTGGTGGGAGTGAGGGAACTGGGGCTGGTTCGGAGCAGCTTGTATATTAAACTATCGTATCAAAGGCAAGCGGCAGTCTGACAAGAAATGTAACCTGAGGAGAAAGGACACTAGTGTGTTTGAGCACGCTGAGGGATTCTTGCATGACCTGTCACTCTCTTAATGTCGTAGCCCGAGCAGGTCTTTCTGGTTTTTATGAAGGTGGTGGGAGCTGAATGGGGTATGGGCTCATTTCTGTTCATCCACGGACATCTCTACAATCTTCTTATCTCTTTTTTAATTCCCTTCTGGATATAACTTGGAGAAATAGTGTCCGTCAAATTCGCTGCCACCTGGACTCAACCCAGCTGAACTGCTTTTGGAAGATACTCTTGCTTGCATCCCTCTGGAAGTCCTTCTAGGAGGAAGAGAAGCTAAATAAATTTATATTCGTTGTTGCATTGAGGAAATATATTTCTTTTGACTTTGGAGCGACTTACTAGGAGGATCTGTGTGATGTCCTGATCTCCCTCCACCATTCTCTCTGCTGAGCATGGGGTAGCTGTATTTGACCATGGTGGTCACACAGTTACAGTTGGAGCTCTGCTTTCATGGCAAGAAGCTGAGAGGTTTCACCTGCAAGCTGACCAGATCAGCCAGTGGATTTCTCCCAGAGACCTCGTTCTCCATTGCATCCCAGATTTTCGTGCCATTCCTTCTGGCTGGCTTGGGCATGGTAGCTGCTGGCCTCCTGATGGATACTGTGCAAGTAGGTACATGTGGTTAGGCTCCTTAATAGCAAAGGGGTGGGTTATTTCACTGACTTGGAGTATTTGTGCTTTTTCTTTCTAATATTGTATGGTCCTGCCAGGTAGTCAGCAGGATGGCTATAGGTTTTGCCCACACTGGGAGGTGCTGTCCATCTTCAGGTCAGTACATGGGCTCCTTGCAATGTGGGGTGGTGGTTTTCAGCTGGACTGCCTGGCACTGCCCTCCGTTCATGAGATAGTGGAGGGAGCACTCGATCTAGCTAAACATTTGGTGACAACTGATATGAAGCAGTTGAGATCAAACTACAGTATATTCCTCTATTGCATGTTGTTGTTTCTTTACCTCAGAAAGTTCTGATAAGCAGATCTGGGTCATGGTTGTTGTTAACTACTTGTCTCACTCACAAGTTTATGTTTTCAGTTCTTTGCAAACAACCTAATGTAATCTTTGGTCTAGAAAGTATTTAGATACTATGATGAGAGACATGCCAGCATAAAAAGATTAGTATTGTCTACAAACTGAGTGCTTCATGGCCAGGTTCTGAGGCAGTGCAAGTCTGGAATAGCTGCTACTGACTTCCAAGGACTTGTGCCCAGTTTATACCCTCACATCCGCAATCAGGATCTATCCCATGGATCTTAATTGTACTGGTGACACCAATAGAAATGCAATATTTGTTCTAGTTTGGGCATCTAATGCCACTGGATTTACAAATCAAAAGGCTGGCAGAGTTTCTCAAGGATATATCCTGTACTCTGAGCTTACTAGAGTACATTGGATTCTCTGGCATTAGTACCGCAGCAGGAGCTAAATATGGACACTTGAGTGCTTGGAAAGACAATATCTTGCTGTTTTTCTTGCGTTGAACGAAACAAAGAAGGTGGAGAAGTCAAATTAAGGGGAATGCGAGGAATATCAAATAAAGGAGGGTTAACTGGAGTGGCACACGCTGTTGCTCTGCTCTGTTTGTCGTCGTCTCCACCTCGTTGTGCTGAGCTGTTAGGTACAGACCTGTCTTGCAGCATTACAGAAGTTCTCAGTCTACCCGAGATGTTATTTTAGTAGTTAGCAGTTATCTTTGGCCATCTATTTCGGGGAAGAAAAAGACATAGTACATACCCTTGGCAGGTAAACAGGTCTTTGTCTATGAGTAATCCAGTGCAATTCCAAATCCAAAGCCTAAGAATCAGTCTCTGTTCAAGTGCTGCTGTGTTAGAGTTGATGAAAAATGCAAACCATTCCTACCTACATCCGTCCTTCAAATAACAGATTGTAGTCCACTTTGTATATTAGCTCACTAGACTCTCAGAGATGGGGTCATGCCTGAAGCAGAAGTAACAGTGCGTGTTTTGGAGGAGATCTCAATTATGTTAAAATAGAAGGTATCAGCCAATGGGTTCAGCTCCCAAACTCCGAGGAGGAAGCTAGTGGATTGAGCGTTCAGGAGAGGTGTTATTGAGGTAAGCTGCCATGATATCAGCAACCCTGCATTTAAAAACAAAGCCAGTAGCTGGAAAAATCCAACATTTTAGCCTTTAAAGATTTGGATTATGCCTTTTATTCTTTGAGCTGCTTATTTTTTTCTGTCTTTCTTGAGGCAATGAGAGTCCACTCTCCTGTCCAAATAACATGTGAGATTTGTTTTTGTTCATTTGCTTATTTGGGGTTTTTTTTTGGCCTGATGCCTGATATCTTAAGACTTACACTGGGGCTCATGAGGCTTCACACCACTGATACTAGAGGTTTTTCTCAGAGTCTGTAATTTACTCTTTTTGCAGGGAATGATCTGACTGAGGAATGTTTTTCAGTTATTTCCAGTCACTGCAAAATATCCTTAGGAAACTCTATATCTGCCTTTGTCAGGGAGACACATGAGTGAGCTCAAAAATGGTATCTGAGTGTACGTGTGAGTTTAATGGCTCTGCTCAGAAACACGGTGCCCTGAGCTGGGAGTCCAGCTGGCTCCGTCATTTGCAGGGCTGATACTGTGAGGGAGATGAGAACAAGGCAGAAATTGTTCATTTTTGTCCCTTCAAACTGTAGAGGATTTCATCAGTGTTTTTCATCTGTGCAGTGATGAAACCAGTGTTTTTCCAAGTTTCTCTTAAAAAAAAAAAAAAAAATCAAGGAGAAATCTGTCCAGACAGGTTGATATCAAAGACTCACTGATGGGGGTCTCGCACCATAACATAAGCATGCCCAGAGATCTGGCTACTCAAGACCCAGAGCTTGGCAAAGGTCTTTTCTTGCTTGATACTTCCACCTCTGCTCCAGTGATCCTTGGCTGGCTGGTTGATCCGGATTCCAGGCTGGCTGGCATTGCTGGGGAGACACCGACCTTGCAGTGTTGGGCCCCCTGTTTTACTGTAAGGTTGGGAATCGAGTTGAAACTGGAAGATCAGGTTTCAAAGCTGAGAATTCAGGAAGAAATTGTCACTTCCACACCACTGCAGTTGAGCATGGTCCAAGAAAAAGCCCCAGACATCAGGTGTCCCTATTCTTTCTTGATTAAAAACCTGTGACATGATTAGCATTGAAAGGGATTTTGAAGAGGCATATGTTTCATGGTCCAGGATCTTTGATTTTTCTGTTGACTCATTCAGGACAGTGGGTCTGCAGATTTTAGCAGCTTTCATGGGAGGGTGGATGCCCCAGAACGGGAAATAGAGAAGCTGTCTTGGGCTCTGGGCACATCTATTTGCCCTGTATTTGTGTGGTTGCTGTTATAGAGGAGAGTGGAGTCCTGGCCACTCTGGTATAAATCACTTTGAATCTGTTCCTGGACTCTTGGGAAGTCACTAATGACTCTTAAATGAAAACATTTGAATCAGCTGGCTAGCTGCTTTCTTGCTTGCTTTCTTTTTTCTTTTCTTCTTTTTTTTTTTTTTTTTTAGCACAATTGTTTAATTTTTATTACTTATCCAAAGCCTTGCAGTGTAGTTGTATGTAAGACAGAATCCCCAGTCATACCTCACATGCTAATCTTTGGCTTGGATTGCCTGCAACCTGCAAAATTCATTCATGAACTCAAGGACTGGAGGTCACATTTGTCTGATAAAGTGACATTTTCCAAAGGTGACCTACACAGAAAATATAAACAGTTGGGTTAGTCTCTTGCTTTTTGTTTATGTGTCTCTCTATGTGCAACATATGCAAGATCTGTATGTGAATGTCTCTATGTTTACTTATTTTAAGTATTTGGGTTATTTATACTGTGACTACGAAGCCTGTTTTTTTTCCTGTTTCTTCTGAAGGTGTCAAGTGTGTGTTCAGAACTTTCTTTATTCCCAGTTAAGGAGATAGAAGAAAAGGGGCTTTGAATCTTTAAGTAAAATATTCCTCCTGGTAGGTTTTCTCTTAACAAATTCAAGCCAAACTGTAGTGTGACAAGAAAGGTGACTACTCTAGTCTTGTGTGTTATTTATTTGACAGTAAGTAGCTTTTAGCCTTTGGGAACATGTCTGTTTCCAGGTCGTTGCTGCTCAAAGTGCCTTTCTGCATTGGCGTGAATGCTTTGCCCATTTGCTGCAGCTCCGAGGGGCTGTCTTAGCTGCTCTTCCCTGGTTATAATCCAGAAGGAAGCTGGGGGGTCTTTCCAGCTGCATCCCCAGGTTCCCACAGCTTCACGTGGCACAGGCAGAGCTAAACACCGAGCTGTTGATACCTGTATGTGTTTCACAACAGGCAGTGGTCCGAATGTTTCAACATCTTTAGAGCCTGTCCCACCTGCTGGGATTTTCAGCTTTATAAAATCCCAAGCGACCTGGAATATGTGAGCAGGGATCCATCCTTCACTTTGCCCTCTAGCACCAGAATTAGGGAGCACCATATGAAACGAGTCAGAGACAAGTTCAGAATAAATGAAAGGAGGGCATCCTTCACCGGACGTGTGGCTAAGCTAGAGAAATGTTCATCGCAGGTTACAAGTTGGTTGGAGAGGAGATTGGACAAGTAGCTGAAATAAGTCCTTCAGGCACTACGTACAAAATGCCCAGAAACTAATCCAGCTTGGTACTCTGTGTCAGACAGTTGCAGGCTGGAAAGTACTCAGGAGACTTATCCCATATACTTGTCCTACATGCAAATTATTATTTTATACATCTCAATTTGGCCATTCTTGGAGATAAAGATGGGGCAGGTGGACCTTATTCTGCCTCATTGCAGTTGATCTAATGTTTGTACATTCTGCTCTTAGACATTGGGCTAGTTGGTTTTCATTCCAAATCCTACAAGGGATGATGCATGAGTTACCTTCCTAGGCACTACATGATAGATAAATTATATGTGTTAATCTGCAGTTACTTAAGGTTTCAGATCATTTCCAGTGCAACTAATTCAAGGATTATTTATAGTTCAGTTTCAGAGGAGCAATAATAATCAAAATGATGTCTCAGCAGCTCTGGCTTGTGGACTGTCTTAATTCAAGATCCTTATTCCAGCTGTGCTGAGAGCGTGCTTGTTAGCAGAAAGGCTTAGGAACTGGACATGGAAAACCAATGAGAAAAATCTTCCCTGCCGCTCCTTACCTTAGATACTTGTTTTTGGGCTCAATTAGCCCATACTTAGTTATAGATTTGGTTTAGATTTGTTTTTGGTAAATACTTTCCAGGTCTTTGTCCACTCATCTGAGTCTGCATAGCGAGTCTGCATAGCAATAGGTGTTACTATTACCTATTGTCAGTAGAAAGGATGGAGAGCTTGCTGCGTTTCATTTTCTAATTATTTTTCATGTTGTTCTTTACTAATGCAAAAGGTACCATTTAATTTCTGGCCTGCCAAAATCTCCTGCCCTCAGCAAGAAGATTCCTACCTCTTTAGGCTACTGCTTTGCTATGCATGAGGTCAAAAAGAATGTTGCAAGCTAAAAATTGCTTCCTTCGCTCCTCAAATGCCACCAGCTCTGGGACAGCATCTGCCCATATGTGTGTAGTGCACCCCTGTAGAGCAAGGGGTGAAATGGGAACCCATTTCCCTTTGAAATAACTGTATTGAACTGGACAGCATCACAAACTATCCTGTTTTCTTTCCTCCTTCTAGCACTGGGATGTGTTTCAGACAATTACAGAAGTTTTTATCCTGGTTCCTGCCCTGGTTGGTCTAAAGGGTAATCTTGAAATGACGCTGGCATCCAGACTCTCTACTGCTGTGAGTATTATTGAGGTCGGGGGGAGAGATTAGCAGGAGTCATCAAGAGAAGCTGCTTTTATATAACACACAATGTGTTTAAGACATCCTCTTCCCTGCTAAGTAAAAGCAAGTGGTGCCTGAGTATTAAAATAATGTTTTTGTCCTCATTTTGTAACTGGAACAGAGAATTTCTGTCTGCTCTTGGAAGGTGAAGTAGTCCCTGTGTGTCCAGCTGCTGATATCTGGGGCCCTGCGACAGACACATGAACAAGATAAAGCAGGGGCTCCTTAGCTGCAGGGCTGGGTTGCCATTTCTGTTGCTTATTGACACTTAAGAGAGCTGTGACTTTTCTTCCCAGCCATCTCACCTTGGGTTGAGTGGCCTCAGGCTTCTTGGGGTCTGCAATAGCTTTTGTCACTCTGGATTTGAATTCTCAGCAGGATCCCGTATCCCTCTAAGCAATTTGTTTCGTTTTGGGCTCTTTGTGTTGCAGCTTGCTAGAGCCATGTAGGGGGACAAAATGAGGAAAAGCGGTTTAATTTGTCCAGTTTTTGGGCTCTGTGGGACTTGGTGGATGTGCTTAGCCCTGAGCCAGGTGGCAGTAGCCCCGAGGTGCTGATGTGCAGTGTGTGCTCTTGGGACCACAGCTTCAGCCTCTGTATTTGGGAGAACTCTGAACTCACCCGAAGCTTTCAGAATGAGCTGAGCTGGAGCATAGTGGATCCCTGTCAAGAGTAAAGTGTGAGGAAGACAGGAAGATCCCCCCACTCTTCCTTTAGCAGGCCCTTTCCATACAGACCCCAGGAAACTGCCTTGCTACCCTCAGCAACAGCCTGTACCATGGGGTAGGTGTTCAGATTGTCTCTCTTGACTCCTAGGCTAACACCGGCCAGATGGATGATACCCAGAAGCAGTGGAAATTGGCCACCTGCAACTTAGCCCTGATCCAGGTGAGTCACTTCAGATGAGAGAGAAAGAGAAGATCCTTTCCTCTTGCTGTGCTGCAGCCTGACAGCATCTGTTCCCAGCAGTGCTGGATCCAGAGCTGTTTATTTGGGGTAGGATATTCTCAACAGAGCAAAGTAGAGCGCAGGACCTGACCAACAAAGCTCCCTGTGGCCCTGGAGCTTGTAGCTTAGCTGTAAAACGGATCTAGACATTCATTGCCTTTGAGGACAACCTGAGAGAGCAGAAGCAGCCTTCCTTGCAGGGAGAGCTGTGGCACACACTGTGTTTCACAACATTCCCTAGATAATGCCTGTCATTTACTGGCAACGTTGGGGAAGCAGCCTTGGATAGGAGGGGAGAGATGGGGGAAATGTGATTCTTGTAGCTCTTTCTGCTTGTTAAAATCCAGTGACTAGCCTAAAGGTGGCATGTGGCAAGGCCACAGGACTTGTGTCATACGCCTGCTCTCCCTTATCTCCCTCCACAGCTTTCAGCTTGCTAAGAGTGTTGTTGATGGGGATCCCATTTTTGTATTGACCAGGAGTATTCTTCTGCTCATGGACACAGTGTCCTCTGCTAAAATGTTATCTGCCCTCTGCAGGCCTCCTCAGCTTTTACTCCAAACTTGGCCAGAATTTTGTTTTGAGAGGAGCCTTCCAGTGACGCTGCTTAAATTCTTATTAAATCAGCATCTCTGCAGGGCCTTGGCTTCCAAGCTATGTAGTAAATCTTCAGGTGCACAAAGCTAGGGCTGCCTATGAGCAGATGTGGGTGATTGCTCACCTGGTGTCATCTGGCCCCCAGGTCCAGGCCACAGTGGTGGGACTTCTGGCTGCTGTAGCTGCTGTGATCCTGGGAGCCATCTCCAAGGGCTCTGTGGAGCTGAGCCAGGCGGCTGTGCTGTGCGCCAGCAGTGTGACCACTGCCTTCATAGCTGCCCTTTCTCTCGGTGAGTCATTTTGATTCCTCAGGTCAAATACATGGCACTCAGGTGTGCAAAAACCTTTCCCTTCTCCCAGGGAACCCTACTGGACATCCTGTCAGTTTGGCCTAGGAAGAAGAGAGGGAAGAATGGATGCAGGGAGCATTAGTCCAGGATCCTCTATTCCTCCTCTCCCTAGATGCTGTATTTGCTTCTCCAAAGTTCTGTTGTGAGTTGGGCTCTGCATCCACAGCAGCTATCAGAATGTCCCATGTTATCTGACACACACAGAAAATGCCACCTGCTTTGGGGTGGAGGGGACATACTTTCTTCAGTCGGCTTGGGTTGCACATGAGCTACAGTGGAGGAAATCAAACTAACTAGAGGAAATCAAACTAAGGCCACACATAAAGCAGGGTGAGAGTCTTTGCTTGTCAGCAGACAACACTGGACCACACTCAAGATGGACTTGAGTGACCCAATGCCCTGTAGAGGAATCGGGGCTGGCCCTGAGCCAGGCAATCCACTTCCCTGGCTGTCCGTGTCTGCAAGGGAAATGCCTGGTGGGGATGGGTAGGAGCATCTTTGCACCAGCTGAAGATGATCAGTTTGTGGACCTGCCATGTGAGGGCAGCAGGATTCTCTGAATACACAGAGCTGGCAGGACTTTTTGCAGTTTTTTATGTGAAAGGGATAAGCTAGAGCAAGTGCATATCCTAAAGCTGGAGTCTAAGGGTGAAAAACAGAATGAAACAAGAAATTGTCAAAAGAAAACATACCAGCTTGGCTTTCATTAAAGAGCTTTTCCACAGTGCTGTGACGTATCTAATGGCTGAGGGATTCCTATGTGTTCCCTGGTGTTTTAGGTCTGTGCTCATTAACTTAGTTGGAGAAACGAAGTTTTCTTCCTCTTCTGTAAACCTGAGAAGCAGCTGAATTTTACCAGGTGCAGCTTAGATCACAGTAGAAGAGAGGTGATACCTTATGATTCTGTAGGTGCTCATGCATCAACCCCTGCAGGGAAAATTAAAGTAACCCCAAGGACTCTGAGCCTCAAGTAGTTATTCTGATAGCTGGACTGAACAACCAATTCAGCTTTTATTTAAAGAAGCTCTTTGCCACTTGGTTGTGCAAGCTCACGTAGAATATTAGTTTAATATGGAAAATATCCTTAGGCTTTGAAATCCAGAGCAGAGGATGACACCAGGATGCTGGTGCCTGCCTGCTGTGTGCTTATCTATGAATGTGCTTCATGCCTCGGCCTGTTTCAAGCCAGGAGAGATTAGGTTGCTCAGGAGGGGAGCGTCTACTTTTGGGCTGTCTGTTGGTATCTCCTTTGATTCCTGGAATTTGTTTGTCTGCCTCTGGGCCTTTGGTGAAGTTCATAAGGGCAGACTCATGCCCTTGGTGAAAGCATGAGGACAAGTTCCCGGGGATATCCCGTCTCCAGCTACACAGTAGCCACTGGGAACAACCTGGTCTTGGCTTTTCCTAGACCCTATGGCCCTCCGGGAACCTAAACAGTAGCTCCGGGGCAAATTGCAGCAGGATGATTCTCTGATACTTGCTCCATTTCTTCTCTAGGTCTGGTGATGATTGGCGTGATCATCGGGGCGAGGAAGGTTGGGATCAATCCAGACAACGTTGCCACTCCCATAGCAGCAAGCCTTGGAGACCTGATCACCCTTTCCCTGCTGGCAGGAATCAGCAGTACGCTCTTCAAATACATAGGTACAACAGGTAGCAGAATTCGTAGCTCAGCAAGCAAGAGATGAGTCTGTGTAAAATAATTGCAGGGCACTTACCCGTTTCTGGGATGTTTCACAATGTGAGCTGGCATCCTGCTGAGATGGGAAAGTAACCACAAAGGCTTTCTCCTGGTTCTCTTTTAGTAGCAAACTGGAAGGCAGAGCCTAAGAAATATAACTGGGATTTGTGAAAGAAATGGCAAGAGCATATTGTGCATTGCTTCGGAGCAGAAGGTTGACATATGTGACACTGGGACTCTGTTCCTGCATCTGTTGGTAATCCAGCAAAACTATTTTGTGTGTGGGGGGGTAATAACAGGCCATTTGTGAGGAACACAGGCTACCTCTGCGTTTTGGCACCTGTACAATATTCTCATACCTTCTCCTGTATTGTGGTTGAACAAGATGATATTTTCTTCTGGGAATGAGGGAGACAGTTCTGTATTGCTTCATACTCACAGGGCTTTAGGTAGGAATTGTGCCTATGGAGGTAGCCATGCTGCTCCTTGGCAAAGGCTTTGGCACCTGTTGATTCTGGGACACTCAAAACATGTTGCAACTTGGTGTTTTAATTGTTGCTTGTAAAGTGCTGGGCTATTTACCCTGAGCCTAACCTCGAGTAGATTTTCCTCGAGTAAAAGATCCAGCAAACTTGATACCATTTGAAATGCAAACTGCTGCTCCAGGCTGAGAGCAGAGTCAGCGAGGCAGCTGTTCCTGGTTTGCATAACTAGTTCCATATGCCAGCAAGGGAGGGAGCAGGGGAATGCACACTGCAAGGAGAGGCCCAGGCATTGCCTCCTTCTCCTTGAGCTCCGGAGGTGTATTTTTTTCAACAGGCTTTTTCCATGACGCTGTTGCACCTGCCTCTGTAGAGTCAGTTTGTCTTTCAGTAGCTTTGCCTCTGATAATATCTCCAGGGGAGTGCATGGCAGAACAACGTGATAACCTCCTTATGGCCAGAGATGCATCTCTGGTATTTTTGGCGTAGTTTAAATAGCTTTGGCCCCTTGAGATGGAAAATGCCCACCCCACAGATGGGTAGTCATTGGGAGCATGAAGTGAATCAGGTGAGGGTCAGGCCCCATCAGTGATGGTTGGAATTAAACCCAGTGTGTAGCAGGGAGTGGGTTGTGCTGTGATTGATGGTGATGGCATCACCCACACCATGGGTGAATTCTCAGACCCTGGGGCCCCAGAGGTACCTGTGTTGCACCATGGCTAGCAGGAGAGGCTCTTGGATGCTGGAACGTTAACTGCTGGGTCCTGCTAAAATGCTTGAGAACAACAGTGGGACATAAAGCTTAGGCTACCATGTGCCATCCAGGGCCTCTTCTTTTCCTTATGTTGTATAGCACCCTTTTGCCAGCAGAGATTGTTAATTATTTGGAAACTAACCCTAATGCTTCCCATTCTGCATAGTGGAGAGGAGAATTTTGCTAACAGTTGCAGCTCACTTGGGGCTGCTCAGGGGAGGACGTGACAGACCTGGCATGCGGTGACCAAAGCCAGCTCATCCTAGCAGGAGTCTTTTTGTGGGCTTTGGTAAGCACTGATGGGCACCTGCACAGTGTGTCTGCATCCCCGAGGAGGGAATTGGTGGCCTGAAACAACAAGAGCTGGGCTGGGGCCGGGGAGAAGGAGGAGATGCAGTTCAGCAGCTAGTTCCCTTGTACAACCTGTTGGTTGTAAGCGACTCCAGGAGATACAGAGCTCTGATAAAACAGTGACCATTTACATCCCAGAGGTGGTTGCATTTCAGTGCCAACTAAAGCCACACGCAAAGAATACGCACCTTCGTGTAAGAGCCCTTGATGCAGGGAAGATACCATCAAA